CCCCCCCCCGTCGTTAGCCACTGCCCCCCCCGGGGGGGGGGACAGAAAACACGGGAAAGCAGGGAGCGGGGCGGGGGTTCAGCAGGGGTCACTAGCGCCGCCAGGTTTTCTGCCGCCCTAGGCAGCGGAAGGTCCCGCCCCGAAATGCCGCCCCCCACAGAGGCGGCGGAAGGTCCCGCCGCCGAAATACCGCCACGGTCACCGCCCCCCAAATTGTAGGGCCCTAGGCGACCGCCTAGGTCACCTCATGGGTTGCGCCGGCCCTGCTTCTTGGTAAGCCAATCACTCGGACAAACAAAGTTGGTTACAATTTGCAGGAGATAATGCTGCTTGCAGCCTGCTTCTTGCTTACAATATCACCTGAAAGTGAGAACAGGTGTTTGCATGACAGTGTTGTAGCTGGCACTGCAAGATATTTACATGCCAGATGCACTAAAAATTCATATGTCCCTTCATGCTTCTAACACCGTTCCAGAGGACATGCGTCCATGCTGCTGACGGGTTCTGCTTGATAACAATCCAAAGCAGTGCGGACTGACGCATGTTCATTTTCATCATCTGAGTCAGATGCCACCAGCAGAAGGTTGATTTTCTTTTTTGGTGGTTCAGGTTCTGTAGTTTCCGCATCAGAGTGTTGCTCTTTTAACACTTCTAAAAGCATACTCCATACCTCTTCCCTCTCAGATTTTGGAGGGCACTTCAGATTCTTAAACCTTGGGTCGAGTGCTGTAGCTATTTTTAGAAATCTCACATTGGTATCGTCTTTGCGTTTTGTCAAATCTGCTGTGAAAGTGTTCTTAAAATGAACAACATCTGCTGGGTCATCATCCAAGACTGCTATAACATGAAATATATGCAGAATGCGGGTAAAACAGAGCAGGAGACATACAAGGAGTACAGTCACAAATTTAATTGATGCATTTTTTTTTTAACAAGCATCATCAGCATGGTAGCATGTCCTCTGGAATGGTGGCCGAAGCATGAAGGGGCATACGAATGTTTAGCATATCTGGCATGGAAATACCTTGCAATGCCGGCTACAGAAGTGCCATGCGAACATGTGTTCTCACTTTCAGGTGAGATTGTAAATAAGAAGCAGGCAGCAATATCTCCCATCAATGTAAAGAAACTTGTTTGTCTTAGCGATTGGCAGAATAAGAAATAGGACTGAGTGGACTTGTACGATCTAAAGTTCCACACTGTTTCGTTTTTGAGTGCAGTTATGTAACCAAAAAAAATCTGCATTTGTAAGTTACGCTTTCATGATAAAGAGATTGCACTTCAGGACTTCTATGAGGTGAATTGAAAAATACTATTTCTTTTGTTTATCATTTTTACAGTGCATATATTTGTAATAAAAAATAATACTATAAAGTGATCATTGTGCACTTTGTATTCAGTGTTGTAATTGAAATCAATATTGAAAATTTAGAAAAACATCCACAAATATTTAATTAATTTTTTTGAGTTAACTGTGTGAGTTAACTGCGATTAATTGACAGCCTAGTTTAAACTTACCAAGTTCCAGCTTCAAAGTAGTTAGGTTGTTTGCCCCCACTATTCCTATTGGGAGGCTGTTCCAGAACCTCTCTCTAAACCTTCCGGCACCGTGAGAACCTCAGACCTGGGTTGCACTAAGCCCAGGCACCTAGACCCCACTAGGAGATAGATCTTTCAAAATCTGGCCCACTCCAGATGAGTAAACCACAGGAGGAAGGCCGGAAGGTTGGGTTAGTGTTAGAAACCTTCTTCTCATTTCCAGCCTAGATTTATTCCTGGCCAGTTTATCCTCTTTTATTCTTGTGTCAACATTGTCCTGGACAGGGTTTGGGCATTTTAGCCACCATAAAATTCATCTAACCCAGTGATTTTCAACCTGTGGTCCGCAGACCCCTGGGGGTTCGCAGACTATGTCTAAGGGGTCTGCGAAAGGTTGTTGTTACCATAGAACAATGGTTTACAACCTGAGGTCCATCGGGGGGGAGGGGGTCTGCAGACTGTCTATCATTTCCAAAGGAGGCCGCACCTCCATTCAAAAAAATTTAGGGGCCTGCAAATGAAAAAAAGTTGCAGACTGCGGATCTAACCTGCTCTCAGCCAGTCTATTATGATGACAGTAGCACCTGCGCAGTGCTACATTGTACAAACACCCCCGTGAGGGATAGTTCCTGTCGCAGAGCTAACAATCTAGCTAGACAAAGAGTGAGAATGAAACCAAGGCACAGGAACTTGCCCACAACTATACAGTAGGTCTCTGGCAGAGCCAGATATAGAAGCCAGGTCTCTTGGGTCCTAGTTCAGTGGTGTAACTACAGGTCCACAGGAGATGCTGAATTGGGTTAAAACCCAGGCAGCAATCTGTGTCCTTTCTACACTGCTGGAGCTGTGAGGGTGGGAAGTTACACCGGACATAAAAACGTCCAGTGTAGGCCTCACCTTGTTGAATCAAACCCAGTGTTACCTTCATGGCCTCCTGGTATAGGGACTGAAGTGCAGCCCGACCCTTCACCCTATTAAAGATACAGGCAAGCTGAAGACATCTGCTGGTCTTGTTCATTATGGACACCCTCGAGACCCAGCTGCCTTTAAAATAGTTTTAATATTTGGCGGGTTTTTTTTGTAAAAATACCATCAACCTGGGACTGGATTAGAACTGCTGTTGTAGCCTCCTCATCCCACTCCCTAAACTAACCATCATCTCTGACACAGTGCCAGATACAGCCACTGCTCTAGAGGGGAAAGGCCCCGTGTCCCATTCCCTGCCTCCCAAGAGCCAGCCAGTGCTCCTCACGTGGGGCTGGATCAGAACCAGTGTCCTAGAGGTGAAAGGCCCTCTATCCCATTCCTTGCTCCCCATAAGCCAGCTGGTCCCCCACGTGTGTGACAATACTGGAACTGATGCTCTAGAGGTGAAAAGCTCTGTCTCTCAGTTTCGGACCCCCAATCTATGCTATCTTTTCAATCATTCCTTTCTTCAGACTTCTCATTTAAAACTCCTAGCTGGAGATGTTTCTCTTGTCAGCGGCTGTGAGACAATCGCTCAGAGAGGGGGGAGCTGCACTGAGCCCCTCACTGAGGCATTAACTCTGAGCCCTGCAGCAGGGGCTCTGCCAGCCCTCCCCGGCAGGGGGGTTTGTGGGGTGGGGGCAGGAGGGTAAGAGCTCAGCATGCCTGCTCCTCCCCCACCCTCAGAGTCACCCAGGCTGCTGAGATGAATATGGGGAGGGCCCCACTGCCAGCTCTGTGGGAGAAAAGGGACACTGCTGCTGCTCCTGGGGGCTGGAAAGGGGGGCCCAAGACTCTGCCCCGTCTGTCTGGGGCAGGAGGAGGGGGTGTAGTAAAGTGGTCTTGGCAGAGTTGCCCAGAATATTATGGGATGGAACCTTGCCCTTCACTGCCTTGAATTGCTAGCTCACATCCTGTGCTATCCTGTACCACTTACTTCATGTTTAAGTCAATGGGATCCCCCCCCACCACAAACACAATACCACACTACCACCCCCCCCCATTGGAATTCACACACACACACACAGGCACCGACTTCCTCAGTTCCTGGGTTGGGGGGGGGTGCTCGATCTCCACTCCTCCCCTTCCCCCAAACCCCCACCCATCTCCGCCCGCTCCTGCCAGGGCCTCCTGCATGCCGCTGAACAGCTGATGGCAGTGCATGGGAGGCGCTGTGAGGGAGGGGGAGGTGCTGATCCACGGGGCTCCCAGCGGGTGCTGAGCACGCACGGAGTTGGTGCCTATGCGCACACACATTCTGTGAGGATGCAGTTAAGTGAAGCAGCTAGTTCCCAGCAGGCACTCTTGAGCACTTATTTTGGTTGCACTGAGCAGTCACTTTCCAACATTGGTGATGAGGAAAGATGTAAGATTGGTGAGTGATGGGAAAACTGAGGAGTTTCCTGTTCAAAGTGAGGTGCTGTTGGATAATCACCTTTGTGTTGTCTGACTAAGTTTCAGTCTTGAGGCATTTATGACACTGGGACATTTTAAAGTTACAAACTGATGCGGAAACACCCCAAACATCTCCAAAGCTCCCTACCTGCCTTGGCCCCATGACACTCCCGGAAGTAGCTGGCATGTCCCTCCATTGCCACCATATCGAGGGACGTGATCGTTCCCCTCTATTCGACATTGGTGAGGCCTCGTCTGGAGTACTGTGTCCAGTTTTGGACCCCACACTACAAGGAGGATGTGGGGAAATTGGAAAGAATCCAGCGGAGGGCAACAAAAATGATTAGGGGGCTGGAGCACATGATTTATGAGGAGAGGCTGAGGGAACTGGGATTATTTATTCTGTAGAAGAGAAGAATGAGGGGGGATTTGATAGCTGCTTTCAACTACCTGAAAGGGGGTTCCAAAGAGGATGGATCCAGACTGTTCTCAGTGGTACCTGATGACAGAACAAGGAGTAATGGTTTCAAGTTGCAGTGGGGAGGTTTATGTTGGATATTAGGAAAAGCTTTTTCACTAGGAGGGTGGTGAAGCACTGGAATGGGTTACCTAGTGAGGTGATGGAATCTCCTTCCTTAGAGGTTTTTAAGGTCAGGCTTTTCTTGATGCCATCTCCACACCTCCCACCCCACTGGCGGGAGTTGAACTCACATGAACACTCTGAACTCTGGGCCTTCGCCGCCTAAGCACAGCAACTGTGAGTGGGGTGCAGGGGAAGGAAAGGGCAAAGACAGGTTAAAGGAGAACTTGTTGGACTTTCACACAACAAGGGGAGAAACTGAGGCAAAAGACACTCCCCAGTATATTCTGGGGTAGGAGTTTTCTCATGGCTAAGGCTACGATTATGTCATGGAGGTCACGGACATGAGGCCTTTCCCCTCCAATTAGCTCTGTCCCCCAGTAATCCCCACCCTAGAACTGACCGGGGACGGGGAGCTCCATAGCCTCATGGGGGAGGAAGGCCACGGGGCCACCCCCCTGGACGCTTGCGCTGGGCCCGACCTGGCGAGGCCCTGCTGCCCAGGCCTGGCTCCTCCCCGAGGGGCTCGGCCACATTGCTTATCTTCTTGATGCTGTGGAAGGGGGTGGCGTGTGGAGTGGCGGCGTGGATGGGGAAGTCCGTCTCCACCACCATGCGTCCCTGGCTCCTCTGTAGCTGGTGGCGGGGGACCCTCTGCAGTTGCCCAGCCACAGTGGGAAGAGGGGTACCCCCCTGGAGCTCTCAGCTACTGCAGAGGGTGAGGGGACCCTGCAGTAGCCCAGCTCCCTGTCGGCAGTGGGGGACCCTAGACCTCCCATTTGCCGCAGGTGATGGGGAACTGGAGTGAAGGTCAGGACAGGTCACAGGCTTCCGTGAATTGTTGTTTATTGCCCATGACCTGGCTGTGATTTTTATTAAAAATATCTTTGGCTTACTCATCGCCACAAGCTTTCGAATCATGGTTGTGGGGTTTCCCAGATTACTACCAGGTTCCTTTCCCCTTTTTATTAAAAGTTCTCTTTGTTATACACAGACTCAGTGCTTGTGAGAGGGGATGTATTGCCTCTTTGAGGCGCCTGGGGTGGTCTGAAGTTTGCCCAGATTACTGGGTGGGGGTGTGACGGATTAGTCACAGAGATCCCCTTGGGACTGTCACCTGATGTGCTGAAATCACCTCTGAGCCTGTTTTCCCTGCCAGCTTGGGACTCCAGATCCCTGCCTTGTTGAGCCAGACACGCTAGCCTGCTGCAACACAGACCCAGGTCTGAACCATGTCCCCCAAAGCTGCAGACTTTAACTAAAAACAGTTCAGCAGGTAACCTGTCCCCAGCACCCAGACACGCAGCTCCCAATGGGATCTGAACCCCAATAAATCCGTTTTATTCTGTATAAAGTTTATACAGGGTAAATTTGTAAATTGTTCACCCTCTGTGTCACTGATAGAGAGATATGCACAGCTGTTTGCTTCCCCAGGTATTAATCGCTTACTGTGGGTTTATTAATAAACAGAAGTGATTTTATTAATTATAAAGAGTAGGATTTAAGTGGTTTCAAGTAATAACAGCCAGAACAAAGTAAGTTACAAAGTAAAATAAAACAAAACACACAAGTCTAAGCCTAATACATTAAGAAACTGATTACCGGTAATATCTCACCTTCAAAGATGTTCCAATAAGCTTCTTTCACAGACTAGACTCCTTCTTAGTCTGGGCCCAGTCCTTTCCCCTGGTACAGTCTTTGTTAGATCTAGCCGACATCTCAGGTGGTAAGCAGGGGTTTTCTTATGACTGGCAGTCCTTTGTCCTGCTCCACCCCCTTTTATCACTTTGGCACAAGGCGGGAATCTTTTGTCTCTCTGGGTCCCCACCCCTCCTTCTAAATGGAAAAGTACCAGGTTTAAGATGGATTCCAGTATCAGGTGAATGGTCACATGTCACTGTAAGCCCCCCAGTCTCCATCCCCCATGGGCTGGCCCACACGTACACAGGGAGGCTTTCAAGTAACTAAGGCCATTTACAACCGATTGTTTCTGGAGCATCCTTAATGGCCTCCACTTAATATGTTTTTCATCAGTGATACAAGTTGATATCTTATTCTCCTAACTCCAGATATAGAAATAATGCATGGAAACAAATAGGATGAAAACACTTAGCAGATGATAAGCTTTCTAAAGATACCATACAAGGGGTATTTAGCATAAAGCATATTCCAGTTATGTCCTATTCATGAGCATATTTCCATAAAGCATATGAAGTGCAACATCACAGGGGGCTCCAGCCGGTTCGGTTTTGTATTGGAACCCCTAGGTATTGAACCTGGCCCTGGTTGCTGCCGACTCCACCTGGCAGAAGGGTTACTCCTGGCAAGAAAAGCAGAAAAATGACAATAGGTTCCAAGGCCACTGAGAGTGTAATGTGCAAACCGGCGGGTTGTGTCTGGGAGGCGACACAAAAAGCCCCTGGATCCTGACCCATAGGGATAATGGAGCCAAGGGAAATTCTTCACAGTGCTGACTGCTCATTGGGGATGATCCATCTGCACTGACAAGGTTTCAATCCCAGGGGAGAATTGGATATATTCAGATTATTACACTGCAAGAGCCAATGCCTGCCTAGTCCACAGTGAGTGACCCCTGGAGCTCCCAGGAGAGCGAAGGGGAGGCTAACGCGGAGGTGCCAGGAAAGGCCATTCTGTTCTGATGCCTAAGACGTCTAGGATACCCCTCGGTAGTGACAGACTCTCACTAACACTTGCAGTGACTTTCCCAACTGGCTCATAACCAATCCTGACTCATTCGGCGGGTTAAGCACCTTAGCAGGATTAATGAGACCCAACTAGAGATTACTGTGTCATAGGCTGGTATTGGAACAGAGCAAAGGACCTCTTACCGTCTTGGTGCTGGTCGTGGCAGACATGGATAGATCGTATGTCTGAGATTTCGTGCTGAACGTTCGGAATCCCTTGATCCATTTCCTGTACTCCTCTCTCACCTGGAGAGTGAAGGACACGGTCACTGCACTATGTAACTAACGCTGAGAAGATCAGGCATGGCCACCGCGAGGCCGGTGAAGGTGATGGGTGGGTGCTGACGGGCCGTGGGTGTTACCTGGCGATTGAGGAGACAGTGCACCAGGAAGATGAATGCTCCCTGCAGGCTATTGACGATGGTGAATAAATACGCCATGACTGTGGCTGCTGGGCCGACTTGGAGGAGACCAAGGCTCCATGTGCAGCCCAGAATGAAGAGCTGGGAGATGGCTTTAAAGGTCAGTAACCTTGATAAAGGCAGATGGAGAGATCCCGTTACAATAACCCTATGGAGAGCGATTGGGTCAAGAGGATCTGGGCAGAGTGGGGTGGAGCTACTGGCCCTGGCTTTCCTGTGTGGGACAGGGTTACTTTCAATGCAAACACTATGGGAATTCGTTCCCATGGATCCTAAATACTGTATGTTGTTCCCCTCCTGCAATCCCTCACACCCTCCCGGTGCCAAGGACCCTCCAAACCAAGGCATCTGACCCTCCAGGATTGTTTTGTTGCCTTCTCACCTGTGGTCTCTGAGGGTGGACACATCTGCATTGAGGGAGGAGAGACTGTTTCTCAGGATCCACAGGGTCAGGGTAAAAAACGTTATATTTATCTGTGGGAAGAGTGGGAAATATTTCCTATAAAACATCCCATCCAGGGCCGGTGACTCCAGCTGAGGCAGAGAATGATCCCAGGGGACCGAGCCGAACTCTGCAGAACCGGGGACTGCTCATTTCTGGTGGGAAACATCCCCTCTCCTGTAATATCCCCTGGCAGCTTTCGGTCCCTCCCCATGCGTGGAGCTGACAGCACAGCCAGGGCTGAGATGGATCAATGGGATCACAGAGGCCAGATGCTGCTCAGAGTTAAATATGGAGGCTCTCCACTGGAGTCAGTGGTTAATTTGGGTTTACCCTGGTGTAACTGAGAGCAGGATCTGGCTCAGAGATTCCAGATCCTGCCTCTAGAATACTTCCTGCCACTTTCAGACTGTAACGAATTCCCCGCCTCCCCAACTTCCCCAGGGGGTAGGGAGGAATATGTAGGGACATTTGTTTCCCCCGCTACAAAAACCACTGTAGAGTGTAGCCCTCTCCCTTCCTCGTTCCTTGGGTCATTGACTAGACTAGACCAAACTCTTGCTGTCTTCACTTGGAAAAACTCCTACTGACTTCCATGATAGCTGTGCCCGACTAAAGCTGTAGGCCTGGGGATACAGCACAGGGACTAATTCCAGGATTGACCACAGCGGATGAGCCAGGTTGGACCTAACTGGGTCTTTCCTTGTGTTTTATGGGCCACGTTCTCCTCCCTGCTTCACTGAAATCAATGGGGTGGCAGAGGTGAGAGGAGAATGGGGCCCTGTGGTTCTGTGAGGTACCCACCAGGATTATGGCACAGACTGGACCCAGGAAGCTCCAACGAAAGCCTCTGTCCAGGCTTAGCCAGCAGCTACAGGCAGGGAGGAAGAAGAAGGTGACTTTAATGGGATTACTGCCCTTTTTCAGCCCCGGGGTAGAGAGGGGGTGTCACAGGGCAGCTGGCTCTCAAAAGCGAGATGGATCTCAGCCTGCCTGTGACATGGCCGACTCTCTTGTGGGCAACAAACATCCTTCCCCATGTACCTCAGCATCTCCTGTTTTCAGCCACCACTTCCTCTTCCACCTCCTCAAATAACCCTTTCTGGTGGATGGGCGCAGTATTGCTGGAGGGCCAGACATGCAGCGGATGGACATTGGCCTCGCTGCACTGAAGGAAGTGGAGCTGCCCTGATTTACACCAGCTGAGGATCTGGCCTGGGGTGTCTAGAACACGCCACACCCTGTTTTAGTGGAGTCACTCACTTCAGAGTGGGAATCCTCAGGGATCTGCACACAGCAAGAAGGTGCATTTGTTTCCTACCCACCAGCCCCACAAACCCAGCCTGGGAGCTGGGAGTCAAGCTGGGATCTTTCTGGTTTGTTCTTCTGCATCATCAGTGGGGTGAGGAGTGTAGATGTCTGACAGGTGGGAACTCAACTGCAGCGCTCGGGGCAGCTTAGCGTCACTGGGGATGGGAAGGGTCCCAGGGGGAAATTCAGCTCCCAGGCAGGGTGAGCAGGGACATCTCGGTTCAAGTCAGACCTGGGGTGAACCGGACAAGTGCATGGAAGCCCCATCCCAGCTCCCCTTCGGGATGGGCGCTGCACGTACTGTTCGGAAGTTCCATAGCCGTCAGGATTCACCGCTGCAGAAATAGCCACCACCAGGGCTGGGAATCCGTAGCCGAACGGGTACATGAATCTCTTCTTGAACCGGCTGGCGCTGGTGTAATTCACGACCTTCAGGTTCCTGATGGTGAGGAAGAGGTGCAGCCCCTCCAGGAACATCCAGCTGAAGCAGGCCAGGAAGAGGTAGTGTAGGAGGCCAGCAATGACAGCACACGCCACCTGGGGGAGACAGAGAGCCCAGGGACACTGTGGTGGGGAAGGGAAATGCTGAGTATGGGGGAGACCTGCCGGGGGGTCACACCGGGATTCTTGTTAGCAGAGCTCTCCAGCTATAGCGCTCTGTGACCCAGAGATGGCAGGTTCCTCAGTCTATGGAGGGTTCTGTGGGTGCACATTGCTGATGCAGGAAGGGAGCAGAGATTGGTGGTTAGAGCAGGGCTCAGGGGATCCAGGTTCTGTTCCCAGCCTTACCAAAGAGTCCCTGGGTAACCATGGGCAAGTCACGTAGGAGAGAAATCGAGGCAAAGGGACACTGTGACATATGGTGAAACTCCAGTGATTGGGGACACTCAGACCACTGTGCCCAGTGTGAAGGGGCCTAACGGGGTGGATGTCACACCCCAATGGCCCCCTCCCTCAAGGGGTCCCCTGGGAAAGGCAGATCAGCATTATATATTGCTAATGCTGTTGCAAGCATCGCAGGGCATTTTGGGAAGGGTCAAAGACGTGAGTGTGGAGTGGAAGATTCCTTTGCAGGTTGTGAGAGGTCAAAGGGGTAAGAAGGAAGAGAGCAAAGAACGGGTTAACTCCACGCTCCTGCTAGGCCCGAAGACTCCAGCCAGCTCAAGTTCACAGCACACATCTGACTCTCGGCTGCCTGCCAAGAAAGTGGGGGGCCTGGATTCCACTGCAGCCATGATAAAGGAGGATTCAGCTGAACAGACCTGTGGAGGTAGCCCAAAAGAAACAAGACAGTGAAGGCCAACATGGGGGAAAACAAAGTCCTGCCAGTGTGTCTGGAGCCGGTGTGTTTTGGAAAAGTTGAGGAGACCACAGAAAGCCGGTTTGGACTGGTACAAAGCGCACCAGGAACAAAGGTCATGGAACAAAACACCCCCAAAGGAACCCTGGACTTAAAAACCATCCTGAGAGCCGGAGCAATTTGAAGATCACAGCAGACCCCGGACGACCTGGGCCCAGGACAAGAACTCCCATCTACCCCTCCCCCTCTTCTTACGTTACACCCAGGCTTGGCCAGCCTCGGATCGGGTGTGTGTGAGTATGAAAATGGGTTAGGGCTTGGGGCACTCACGCTTTCTTCCTTCCTCTGAGTGATGTGGGGACCCCCCCCAGCACTCTCCACTGTTATTTTATTAATAAAGCTTTAAAACTTAGACACCTGGCGTATTTCGTCATCTCCTCCCCCAAATGATCCTGTGGCCTCAGCCTGATCACCTGACGCCTCAGGCAGATTGGTAACAGAAACCTGTCAGAGTTTTGGTGGAGAATTGCGAAGGGGGGAGGCCCTGTGGAGCGCACCAAGTGTTCTGCCCTTGGTATTTCATGTTTGGTATGCCCAGCACTGTTGGTATTTCATGTTGAGATTTTGATGATTACAGGTGTGCCCCATCCTCAGTCGTAGCATGGCTGAGCACCGGAGAGGGATTTAGCATTCCTATCTCCACCCTGGTCAGCGGGGGAAGGGTGCAGGTGGGTCTACCCCCGGTCGTAGCTGTACCGAGTAATAGGAGGAGGTCTTAGAGATCCTCACTTCAAGGAAAAGAGAAAATCCTTGGTTCATACACCCTCAGCCATTGTATGGCTAAGTATAAGAGGAGAACTTAGGCTTTCTTGCTCAGCCCAGGGTGTGCATTTGGTGTATGGGCCCTCGGTAATATTGGACCGAGTAATATGGAAAAAGGCTTAGCGTCTCTTCCTCCGGACCGGGGGAGGGGGTAAACATAGTAATCCCCGGTGCCGGCGTGGGCAATGTGATATCTCACGTAATTAAAAGATCTTAAGAGGTGTACTAAGGGATCGTGACAACATGTTTAGGAAACAGAAGGGTACAACTGTGGACTCGGGAGTCCCGCAGTTGTGGGTGATGACATCAATGATGGGTTCAAGCCTGGATGCACGGGCATTAGGGAGCGTGGACAGGGAAGTCCGGCTGCCCAGCCCGCTGGTGTCACGGGAGGCTGGTGGACCTGATGCCCGAGCCACCGGGGAAGCAGCAAAGAGGAATGGAACCCTGCTGCCTCTTTCAAAGGGGGGTGAGGACCTCTCCCGGTTGGAGAGGGCTCTCACCAAGGTGGGATATAATCCCTGGGGTTCCGTAGCGGAGCTTCAAAAAAAGAGTGCAAACTTGGCAGGATTTGTTTGACCTGTATGCCAAGTATGAAAAGCAGAAGGGTAAAAACCTAGGGGCAGCTGTGGGATTAATTTGGACTGCAGCAGCCATGTGGTATCAAATGTTGGCGGGACAAAATAAGGAGTTGTGGAGAAGGAAAGAGGTGTGTACCCAACAGCTGGTGGAAATTGAGCAACTGAAAGCGAAAATTACTAACCAGGCTGCAATCCAAGCCTATGTCCAGGACAAGTTACAAGCCTTGAGACAGGACTTCCAGGTTGAAAAAGCGGAACGCACCCGCCCGGAAGCACTGGACTTGTCAAAAACTTGACCATCCGTGCTCAGCATATTCCACAATGGCAGTGTGCTCGCCATAAAAAAAAAAAAAAAAAAAATTGAGCCTCACGGGGAATGAATCAGGTGAGCCTTGTGAAGGCTGGCTTTGAGCTCTCCCTTTGCGAGGATCCTCAATTTTGGTGGAACCTTGTTGCACCCCTATAACGGCCCTCATTAAAACTGAGGAGAGGTCTAGTGGGTAAAGGGGGAAAAGGTCGTATGTACTGCATCCCCAACTACAAGAAGACCCTCCCGTGGGGGTAATTACAAAAATGAAAGGGACCAGGAGTGGTGGGGGCTAGTTTCCAGCTATCCATGGAATTATCTAAATAATTACAATTATAAGGAGGAAAAGTTCTTTTAACTTAACGGAGATATCCTATCTCCTAGAACTGGAAGGGACCTTGAAAGGTCATTGAGTCCAGGCCCCTGCCTTCACTAGCAGGACCAAGTACTGATTTTTTTTGCCCCAGATCCCTAAGTGGCCCCCTCAAGGATTGAACTCACAACCCTGGAAGCCAATGCTCAAACCACTGAACTATCCCTCCAAAGGCTCTCCATGGTTCGAGCCACCAATGGGGTTCAAGCCACAGTGTAGCGCAAGGCTGGAGGGGAGGAGCCATAAAGGCAATGCATAGTCCTAATAGACACAAAGGGCCACAGCAAAATACCTGGTGGGTGGCCCCGGACTTCACATACATTCCAAAGGGGCAGACCCTGTTCCTCATGTGGTGGCCTGGAGTGGAATGGGAGGCCCTTTGGCGAGCAATAGCAGCCCCGATCCCTGGACACAATATTGTTGTTGCAACCTCTTAAACCAGGCAAGCAACATCCATAACAAAAGCCAAAAAGGGCAAAAGCAAAAAAATTTATAATGTACAAAATGTATCCTCTGTGCCTCAGTTTCCCCAATAGAAACATTTACAATGTTCTTTCTTTTTTTTCTTTTGCTTTGTTAACAGAACCAGGCAGTAATAGCAAAAGCCCAGGGACACTCTAAACAAAAGTGGTGGGACCGCTCTTGCTGCTTCAGGCCTGCAAAATTTGTTAGTATAATACAATATATGTAGGGTGGCACATACCTATGGGAATCCTCGGGTGTCTGATGCTTTTGTCCTCCTTTGTTACTTTTACCACTTTTCAAAATTGGCCACGGTAAAACAAAAAAGGTCAATTACCCATTGGCGGGGGAGGGGAGGCAATTGTGGCTTAGCATCCTGGAAATGTAGCATCACATATTATCTGGGATTAGGTGGTCCATCGCGACGTGTGGGAGGTGGCTCCCCCCAGTGACATGGCTAAGCGGTATGTGCTGACTACACCTTCAGACTATCAGCCCATATGGATTGCAGAGGGCAACACTTGGCAGCCATGGCCTATAAAGCTCCCTCAAATACTGTGTAAAAAAAAAAAAGGCCAGGCCGCTTTTATAAGGTGGGTCAACACACCTGCTGGGAAGGGGAGGCATCAGGATACGCCCCCACTAAAGCCCATGTGTTTACCAATACCTCTGTGTGTGTTTGAAGGACCACCTACCCCAGGGTGCCCCTTAATTTGCTGTTACACTCTCAGGCATAAAATGTTTCGGAGCACTGGCCCACGGTTATGCAAAATAGTGTTAATGTTTCTAATTATATTGTATTTAATTTTCTATAAATCACGCCCAATGTTCTCCTCCCATTAATGCACACCTGGGAACAACCATGTTCCAGATAAATGCCTCCTCCTTCACAATGTTACAACACACATTGAAATCTGGAGAAAGCTGCCTTTGCCACCACCATTTGAGTGGGGCATCTATAGCAACAGGGGTGTGTGTTATGCTATGTTACTAATAAAGCCAGAAGTCATTATTGGCTAATGTATGCCATTGTTGCTATCCTAATAATTTTGTGCATGCTTTATTGCTGCTTATGTAAAAGACCAACAGTAACCCTTGCCACCGTATAAAAAAAACCCACAAAAACCTAAGTGGTGACCCCTCCCAACAAAATGTTGATTTGGAGTCAAGGGGGACTGTCACACCCCAATGGCCCCCTCCGTCAAAGGGTCCCCATGAAAAAGCAAATCAGCATTGTATATTGCTAACGCTGTCGCAAGAGTCGCAGGGCATTTTGGGAAGGGTTAAAGGTGTGAGTGTGGAATGGAAAGTTCCTTTGCAGGTCACGAAAGGCCAAAGGGGGGGAAGCAAAAAACGGGTTAACTCCATGCTCCTGCTAGGCCCAAAAAAAGACTCTGACTCCAGCCAGCTCAAGGCCACAGCACACATCTGACTCTTGGCTGCCTGCCAAGAAAGAGGGGGGCCTGGATTCCACCCCAACCAGCTGTAAGAAAAAAAAACCCAGCTGAACAGACCTGCGGAGGCAGCCCAAAACAAACGAGACAGCGAAGGCCATCATGGGGGAAAACAAAATCCCGCTGGTGTGTCTGGAGCCGGTGTGTTTTAAAAGAGTTGAGGAGACCACAGAAAGCCATTTTGGACTGGTACAAAAAGCACCATGAACAAAGGTCACAAAAAAAAACCCACCCCCCAAAGAAACCCTGGACATAAAAACCCTCCTAAAAGTCGGAGCAATCTGGAAATCACAGCGGACTCTGGACGACCTGGGCCCAGGACAAGAACTCCCGTCCACCCTTCCCCCTCTTCTTCTTACCTTACATCCAGGCTTGGCCAGCCTTGGATAAGGCATGTGTAAGTATGAAATTGGGTTAGGGCTTGGGGCACAAATGCTTTCGTCCCTCCTCTGAGTGACGTGGGGAACCCTCCCCCAGTACTCTCCGCTGTTATTTTATTATTTCATTAATAAAGCTTTAAAACTCTGACACTTGGGGTATTTCATCATCTCCTCACCAAACGATCCTGCGGCCTCAGCCTAATCACCTGACACCTCAAGAAAATTGGTAACAGAAATCTGTCACATGGAAACATCTCCCCGGGAACCCTCCCTGTGTCCTGCACAGCCCAGAATCCAGGGAGCACAAAGGGGTTTGAAGCCACACACCCCAGCCTTGCTGGAGAAACAGAGCAGGGGAGAATCAGGCCGTACCCGACTGCCGGTGGGAGTCACCGGGGTGAGGAAGAGCAGGTCGGCCAGGAAGAGGCAGAGGCAGAGCTGCAGGTGGAGGGAGGTGCTGACGTTGCGGATGGAGCGGCACAGGAGGAAGGTGAGGATGGCGAGGAAGAGGCACAGCAGGGAGAGGGTCAGTCCCACGTAGGTGATGATGATCCGTGGGTAATTCTCCTGTAACACAGCAAAGGGAGAATCACCAGTGACCCCAGCCCAGCCCCCTCGGTTCTGACTCAGCCTTTCCCCCAGCAAAGCCTCCAGTCACTCCAGGGAGAGCTTTGCCCAAGGCTGAGTGCGAAGCTCAGGGTCCAGCCCTGTGATCCAAGTCTCACGGTGAGATACCGTCACTGTGGTGGGAGCCATTAAGATGGAGAAACTGGACAGATGGTTACATCTGCAGGTGGTGTGAGTGCTGGTCTTGTGCACGGCGGTGCAGCCGTCTTGAGACCAGCTGCCGCTCTCGGCCACTACTTTCCAGTAGACGCAGAGAGCCTCTTCCTCCTCTCTTTTGGCCTGGAAACACAACAGAATCATCCTCATCCTCACATGACCACAGAACGTTGTTTCTGTTATCACATGTCTATAGCAAACTCGAGGCCACCTAGAGCTCCTCGGCTCTCCCCACGCAGCCCCCAATGCCCACTTGGGCCATCACGGTGGCAGCGGAGAGAGAACGCAGATCCTGATGCTCTAAAAGCACAGGCCCTGCTATTGGAGTGAAAGGGAAATAAATCCTTGCTAGCCGTTAGCACTATAAGGAACATGGCACATGGCTGAGCAGTTCTGACTGCATCCAGCAGGGGGCAGTGCTGCGTGCACACATACACATATGCAACCTAACCACTTCATTACCATATCAAAGTATTTCATGCTGATTTCCTGAACCACACTCTCTACAGAAAGTGGCTTTCCAGTTATTCCGACTCAGGGGTGAGATAAGCAGAGCTGTTACCCTAGACCAGGGGTGGGCAAACTTTTTGGCCCGAGGGCCACATCAGGGAATAGAGATTGTATGATGGGCCATGAATGCTCACAAAATTGGGGTTGGGGTGCGGGAGGGGCTGAGGGCTCTTTTTGGGGGTGCAGGCTCTGGGTTGGAGCTGGGGATGAGAGGTTTCGAGTGCAGGAGGTTGCTCCAGGTTGGGATCAAGGGGTTTATAGAGCGGGAGGGGGATCAGGGCTGGGGCAGGGGGTTGTGGCGTGGGGAGAGCCTGAGGGGCGCAGGGGCCAAGCAGCGTTTAACTCAAGTGGTTCCTGGAAGCAGCGGCATGTCCCTTCTCCGGCTCCTATGCAGAGGCGCGGTCAGGCAGTTCTGCATGCTGCCCCATCCGCAGGCACCATCCCTGCAGCTCCCATTGGAGCACGAGAGGGGCCCATTGGAGTGTGTAGGAGCCAGAGTGGAGCCATGCCATAGCTTCCAGGAGTCATGTGGTGAGGCCCACGACCCAGTGCAGTGGCCGGAGCAAGGCCAAGCCATGTGTTCGGTCCTCCGACCCAGAGCTCCGGCTGGAGCGGGGCTGAGCTGCGTGGTGCAGCCCCCTGCGGCCCATGGGCTGTAGTTTGCCCACCCATGCCCTAGAGCACTTTGCACAGCCATGTGTCGTGGTGCAATGCCTGGTAACCTCCTCCAGTAACACAGCCCCAGTGTGTCAGTAATAAGGAGGCTTCTGCTTCTCAGGACCATTGGGAGCCAGAAAGGCAGCACGGTCCAAATGCCTGGCAGGAGATCGTGCCTTTTATATGCCCCTCTGCAGCCCCAGGTACGGAACAAAGCAAGAGGCTCATCTTTCCTGCACCTGTCTGTGGCGCAGGGTGAAGTGTGCGGGTCTGGAGAGGTGAATGGGTCTCCCGTCTCCGACGGCCCCACTCACCACCCTGGAGTTGAGATGACTCTTCTCCAGCTTCCCACCAGCCGGTAGATTTCCCTCGCTGGGAAGTGTCGCACGGATGATGGAGTCCAGGATGGAGTAGGAAATAAAAACAGCAGCCCCCACACCTGCTGGGAGAGGAGATGATCCCTCGTTAGGGAGCTGGGGACGCTCTGGCAAAGAAGGAGCCGGCCGGGTGCCCAGGGGCCACAGTGAGTCTGTGGCAGATCTGGGAATGGAACCCAGGATCCTGGCCACAACTCTGAAGATTTAACCACTGGACCGTGCTACCTCCTCCCTCGGAGCCCCCAGGAACGCGTCCGGCTGGAAACGTCGAGCTGCAGGATGCAGAGATGAAAATTCAGTTTTTCTCAGCGAGAGCAGGAGAGGGGCTAGCTGGGGACGAGCTTCCCCTGGTGCTGGAGGATTCGGGGCCCTGAATATGGCAGCTGAGGGTACATGTTACCCTGGTCCCCACATCTCCATTTGGGGGTCTGGCTAGACTAGTGCGTCCCTGCCCTTTCCATTCTCTGGGCCCACTTCATACCAGAGACCCTCTCATGAGCCGTCTCCCCTCTGTGCCCCCAACTCCTCACTGCTTGGGGCTCAAGCTGTGGGACAGGCAGGAACGAAGGTGTCAGCTCCATGGCCACAGCCCAAGAACCACTGGCTCAGCCAGCAAGGAGCACTCCAGGGCAAGAGACAGAGGCCAGGGGATCCATGGGGAGGGAGGGAGGGAGGAACGGGGGAACCCAGACTGGGGTTAGGTGCCTGGGACTTGCTCTCTGCTGTGGTTTGGGCCCTGGGTGTCGCCATCCCCAGGATGGTACCTCGTGTGGCTGCCCCGGTGACTGTATCACAGTGCACGACCATCGTCTCCTCGTGAGCTCTCAGTGTGAAGACCTCGCTGTCCCGGCTGCAGTTCCCTGTGACGAGCCGCGTCTGGATAGCTGTGGGGGGTGGGGGTGAGGAATGACAGAGCCCCTCGCTGTGAAACCAGATTCCCTGGGAATCTGTCCATTCTGGGCCAGATCCACCCCCCTCCCACTCCACTTGGAGCCGGGGGTCTTCAGGGCACTTCGCACTGTGGAAGGGGAAGTTTGGAGCCCCCCCAAGTTCCATTGATCACCCCCCATATTCCCTGCCCCCATTCTGGCTGTGTCTCCCTGGGGATGCTGCGTCCCCAGCAGGGGGAGTAGTGGGGGTGGGGGGAGGCGACTGGCTCAGCATGGCAGCCCCTAGTGGTCGAATGCCAAATATTACATTTAAAGCCCTCTCAGGCATTGCTGTTGCTCCTGGGGGCACTGGCAGGGCTGGGTTATATTTCCTGGTGCAGGGGCAGTGCTGGTCTGTGTCTGTACTGAACACAGGCTCACATCCACAACGGTATATAGGCTCTAACTTCCAGTGGATTTGGGGTACGGTGTATAACCCCGTATCTCATGGCAGCCAGCAGGTGGTGCTGAGAGCCACACGTGCCCCCTCACCCATAGACTCTGTCGTCATGTTCTGTGTTGTGTTCTCGGGAGACTTGAGCGCAGTGGCCAGTACAGACTGTTCCACGCTCTGCAGGAGGAATGTTAAAGCCGACACAACCTCGCCCTTGTTTCCGCCATCCCAGAGGGAGGTGCTGTTCAGGAGGGCGTTGAAAGGAAAAGTTGCGTTCTGGGGACAGGAAAAGAAAAGCCCTGGGAGCAAAGAGTCTGGGGGTTGAGGTGCCATGTCCCGTGTGTTCCCAGGGGGCATCGGGCATCACAGCCTCTCCCAGTTCAGGGGGCAGCAATACTCTCAGAGGGGGAGCCCTTTACAAAGGGGGTCCACTGAGGCTGACTCGGGGCCCCTCTGGCACCTGAAGCCAACTGGGGCTAGAACCCTTTGTCCTTCCTTCTTCGCTCCCACTCCCCCATCCCTCCATTACAGATGCCAGGGAACAACATTGTCACAAGCCCATGGCTTCCTAGGCTGTCTCTATGCTGCATCCGGCAGCTGCTCAGAAAT